CCAAATATTAGCAGTAAATGCTTTTAATAGTAATGACCCCCAAAACTGAGTGTGTTCTCTTGCTTTGATTTAGTGAATGGGTGAGATTCTGTACACAGGGCTTGCAAGGGAGTTCTTGGAAGACTGTGTTCATCAGTTCCAATGCAGGGGAATTCACCAACAGCTTTTAGGGCTTCTTAATTGCACCTTGGCCCTTTTACTGTCAGCCAGAGCAGGGGTAAGTATCTCACCCAATGGGAATTTAGCAGTTGAATTTAATGGAAGCAGGATGTAGTCTGAAATAACTAAGTGTACAATCTTAAAAATAATGACTTGGAAGTACCAGTGGAAATAATAGAAATGTTGAACACATAAAAAACAATTCTCAGGAACTACATGTTTCATCCTATGGAAAGAAAGATGTAGTAGAAATTGAATATATTACCACACACATAAACACACACACACACACACCTCCCAACGCATACCTACGTTAAAAGACCATTATTAAGGTTACAAAGTCAATCACTCAAAAGTTTGGAACCAGCATTGAGGTTGCCTGTGTAACCTTAATGCATCCCCCTTTTGTTGCATTTCAATACAGTCTTTACTTATATGGCCACATACTATTTTTTTCCACAGGGCCCCTACCTCATTCAATGCACAGAATGTATGGTGCTCAATTAATCAGCAGCTATTCTATATTTTGTTTTCTCCTCATTTTTCAGGCCTTATTTATTGCACACTATCCAAAACCTGCTCTGAAGACAAAATTATTAATTCATCATGCTCTTTTCTATGGCACTTATTACTATAGTAAATGAGTGTTTCACAACCATTAATTAAATTATTTTCACAATACCCTACAAGGTATTATTCTCCCCATTTTACAGATGGAGAACTGAGGTACGGAGAGGTCAAGGCCAAAATTTTGAGTGTTCAATCTGAGACACCTAGGACTTGATATTTTCTGAGTACTTAGCATGATATATCACTTTACCTGATCAAAGCACAGCTCCCATTGACCAGCTGCAGCTGTAAGTACTGAGCATTTCAGCAAATGGACCTCAGGGTCTCAAATCAGAACACCCAGAAAATGAGCAACACACAATTAGTGACCACATGTGAAAAGTTTTGTTTAAGTGAGTTGACTAGCATCGCATAGAAATTCTATGGCAGAAACAGGGATAGAATCTGGGTCCTAGCCTCACTCATTACCGGCCTTCTAACTTCTCCAATGAATGAAACAAGGGTCATGTAGACAACAGCCTTCTTCACTACACAACCCCAATTTATTTCCAGAGCATTTACATCCTGTGCACTGAAAGAGGCACTGGTCCTGTGGAAAAATTGTATGTGATTATGTAGTTAAAGAGTGTATAATAATGACTATGCAAAAGGGGACCATACTAAGCTTAACTTCGCTTAACTTAATAATGTTATTTTAATGCAGTTTTTGTGTGTAATTTCCAAGGTTTTATAAAAAAAAAAGACAAACTGAAAAAAAAATCCATTATAACATAAGAACATAAG